TTATTTAGGACAGTATTATTAATATTACAGTACCTTATTGTGTCTCTCTATGTATAACGATTTCTCCTTATAACGATGAGAATTCCTGCTCCCTTGCATATCGTTATAGAGAGAGAGGACTGTATATTACTCTAAATAAAAATTCGACAGTTCTCGGCTCTATTCCCTGAATACAATATTATTGCTAACTTTTCGTCAACTGTCGAAAACTGGTAGAAATTTAGGGAACTCTGACAATACTGCTCTAGTTGAGTAAAAGTAAAATTATCCTAAAATTGTTTATTGTGTTATAAATCTATATTTTTTAACATTGTATTAGAAATAAACCATAAATTATAAAACAAATTCTTTATTTTACAATCTGGTTCTGTTATTATAAATTTGTAAAGTAGTTTTTCTTGTATTGCGATCCTTATATATTTCTTACCGCGAACTATACATATAGAAAAAAGCTCAACATATATATTACATACATGCACCTTAAAATTATTCCCTCGATAAACTCTTCCAAATATAATCGATCATTTTCCAAATTGATTGCGTCTAGACGTCATAAAAAGCAAAGAAAAAGAAACACGTCTCGGGGGAACAATGGCAATAGTTGGCCATTGAAATTTAAAGACTCAGCACTTTGTTCCGAAATCTGTTGAATTGACTTTGATGTGAATGAAATCGTGAACCCTCTAATCGGATACAAAGTGAAAGAAAGTAGAAAAAATATGATTTCGTTGAGTTTCATCTGTGTGGCTAATAATAAAATCTGTGTAGTTTGATTGAATTTTTTTTTGGTAAAAAGGTTTTACGGAAGACAGCCAGCCATTGGATGTCAGAGTCTGCCACTACAAACCAACAAATAAATTATTTTAAATATAATTATATAAATGTATGTATGTAAATTTAATATTTTAATAACTGAATTAAAAAAATCAATTTAATGCTAGTATTTATACTATGTATATTTTAAAAGCTTTAAAAAAAGAGTTATGAGTGCTCAATGACAAATGCAAACACTTTCGAAATCCAGTATCTGGACACTATTTAAAATAGTTTAAGAGGCATTACTTCCTTATACAATGTTTTGTGAGTAGTACAAATATTATTCAATGTATATATTTACCATAGTCTTCAGAAAAATCAAAAGATTTGTTAAATTAAAAAAAAATTGTCTAATTTAATATGATATATAAATAATTTTTTCCATGACTTTTAAAATCATCAATATTTGATAAAATTTCGGGTGGTGTCCGGACCCTCTGCAACGTCATTGCTTACTAGTAAACTGATTTGCAGAAGCTGGTTATCATGCCACTCGCAACAGACTTGTTCTTTCCACTCGTGTCATAAGACCCCGATAGGCCGTTATCTCTACCACCTCGCTCCAGACTGGTACAGTAGAGAACGATCGACTGTACAACACCGTGTTAGACCCTCCTCCTTTCGGATTTGGGTCCTCCAATGTTCAGCATCACCCTCCCCAAGGCAGCGGCACTATTCGCAGCGTTCCGGATCACCTCTCGCACGTGCTCCCCCCATTTTTCATTCTGGTGCAATGTCACTCCTTGGTACTTTACTTGTTTCTTGAGTGTTTGACATGCTCCCGCACATTTTAATGGGTGTTTTACAACGCGGCCTGCGTTCCGAACCCGGTATTTGAGATCATCCCGGGTCACTACCAGTACAGCGAGATCGTCCGCGAATACGAAGGGTGTTGTACCATCTCCGTATTCAGTGCATAACCCCGTCATATGACAGATTCCATGGCGTCGGCCTCAAGACATATCCCTGGGGTACCCCAACCGTCACGTCCACGATTGTGCCCTTTTTTACCATAATCCTTCTTTTGGACAGATACTCCACCACTACATTTATCAGCTAACCAGGACATTCTCTCTTCTCCATTGCTTTCATTATATTGTTCCACTACAGCGTATTAAATGCATTCTTAACATTAAACAACAGCAGGGCTGCCCAGCGATGTTCATCCCCTCTATTGCGCAATGCTTCGAGTATACTCATGATTGCATCAATCGTACTTTTCCTTTACAAAAACCAAATTGCCTCCGAGATAAACCACCTGAGCTCTCAATCATGTCGTCTATGCGTACTCTCAGCATCCTTTCATACAGCTTACTGATGCATGAAATAAGGATGGGTCGATACTTTTGTATCTTTAGGAAGCAGTATTAAGCTCGATATCCTCCAAGATTCAGGAAAGATTTGTGCTTTCAGCAGTGCATTGATGTGTTCTAGAAGCCACGCAGGCTCCACCTATCCTAGACCCTTCACCGCCTCAGTTGGTATCTGTTCCAGTCCAGGGGAGCTACATCCTCCATCCATGGTAAAGGGTACAGCCCGCTCAGCTCCTTCATCCCTCCATACACCATGCCATTGCCGTCCGGAAAGAGTTCTCCTGTTACCTCAAGCTTATTGTCCATAAGCATTTCATAAGCAGGATACGCATGGAACTTCTTCATGACGATCTTGTATCCCTGACCCCAGATATCCTCAATCCTCATCCAGCTTTTTACACAGATATTTCCAGTGCCTTCTTTTTCGGTACGAATTTTCCTGTACAGTTCCATCTTCTATGCGCGGTACTCTTCCTCGATCTCCTCGATGTCCTCAGGGTTGATTCTTGCTCTGCCTCTTGCTCTCGTTAACCTTCTTCTTATTGCTAAACATTCATTCATATTGCAAAAAACAAGCTAACGGCTCGGATGCGGACCGCGGTCTGTCATTTGGTGACCCCTCTAACTAGAGCATTTCGCTTTAGCCAAATTTGCGATTTGACTGCCAGCCCCGTTTGGCTATCTGATCGACTTTTTTTGAATTGTGAACAAAACAAAATAATTTTATATATAGTACATTGTTTACCAGGTAGGAAAAGCTTAACATTCCTGGACGACTGTGAAGATTGCTAAGTCGAGGCGCAAGCCGAGACTTAGCAACACAGAGTCCAGGAATGTGGCTTTTCCTACGAGGTAAACATACTATTTTTCCGCAAATCGTTTCAAATTCGACAGATATTGATTGATTTAAAAAAAAACGCGATAATTTTATTCCCAAATAAATGGTGCTTTGAAATTCCTAATAAAATTACTTGGGTTACTATGGAAACGTATTGAGGTTGAATTGTCAAACTTGATGTTTTCAAAATATAAATTAATTCCTTATAAGCAATGTGTTTTCTATCATTTATGTAGAACACTAACAACTGTACGGAAATATCATTTCCTTACAGTAAGGAAGTCCTGACTTTTTCTTCAAGAAATTTTGACAGGAATGTCAAAATTTCTGGTGTTTTAGTAGATCAGTTCATTAATTCATGTACAAAATATTCGTTTAGTATTTAGATTGTCAGTTATATACTCGTAGCTTGTCGCTTGTCTGTTGATACGAAGTTACAGACTTTTATGAAACTTCCCTTGATAAATATTTATATTCTACATTCTTACATGTAAGTCTGTTTTGCTAAACTTTCCAGTAAAATAAACTTCGCTTTTACTGCGAATTCGTATGTGACTCTAGGTGAAAATGGCTATAAATTCTTTTAGTCTGTGGCAAGCTGAACTTTGAAAGAATTATGGGCTCTGTTTCCAAATAAAAGGGAGGTAGACTAATAAATTTTTATATACGTATCTCGGGATACATTCTAACAAAGCCACTGAATACTGGATGCGGTTAGAAACTCGAAATATTCCTCTTAATATTACTTGTGAAATATTTTTACGCATTGTATGTTTTGATAGACAATCTTTTTATATTTTGGGTATATGGATTTTGTTAACGGTCATTTTATATTTGCTAATTTCGTATAGTTTTTAAATATTATAAATGTTTGCCTCTATTTTGTGCATGGCTGCCTTCTTCAAATAAGTTTCTTCATATTATCCTTTTCGAATCTTCTACCATATCTTTAGAGAAAGGAGTACGCCAAGGATTCATTTTATGTTCCTTAATATTTAACATCTATATATACTTCATAAATTGCAGAGTTTTGTATGATTGGGAGAGAGGAATAAACCTAGGCGAAGTCAAAATATCTACCTTGTGTTTCGCATACGACACTTCACTTCTAGGCTCTAGCCCAGAAAAAAAAATTACTAAGTCACTAAAAAACTCAAGGTATAGAGTGCTAAGTTTGGATTCACGGTTAACTCTAAAGAAAAAACCAAATTCATAATTATTGATCGCCAATAACACTTTCCTGAAACTCGAACTATTGCAGGGTGCAAAGTAGTCTCCTCTATGACATATCTTGTAGTTTTAGATAACAACAGAGGCAGTTGTGAATCTGAAATTCTTTTTTTTTAATTGCCATATTGTCAGATTCCAGTAAGAGCCTAAGAAGATATCCATTGAATTCTGACAGGCAACGGTGGAGGAAACCTTTTTTAGACATCTCTACCGTCACAGAACAAGACACCCTGGCATCTTTCGGCCGAGTAGGATACTAGTTCCAAAGACCCCAGGGTAGTGCCCAATTAAGGCTAAAACCTTAACCACCATTCCAGAGAGGTGGTCTTGCCACTCAATGAACAACTAAAATAAACTAAAAATTTATAAATAACCATACCTATTACTGTAAATCAGAACATGTTTCAGACGTTAGGTCATAAACTAATAAATAATATTTACCATAAATTTCAGGAAATGAATGATGAAATATTGGAACTAATGGAAAGCAGACGAAAACAGAAAAACAAAAACACTGAAGAATACAATAAAATTCATAAGGAAATCAGAAGGAAAATTCGGGATGCAAAGAAAAAATGGTAAAGCAACAAATGTCTTGAAATAGAAGAGCTGCAGAAAAAGAATGACACGTTTAATATGTACAAAAAAAACTTACTTACTTGATAAACAAGGAAATATTATAGTCAATGAACAAGACAGATTAGAGAGGTGGAAAGAATATATTAAGGAGCTGTTTGATGACGATAGAACAGAAGTTCAAATCAAAAATACATCGACTGGTCCAAACATAACACTCGATGAACTGGAAAGAGCTATAAAGCTATCAAAGAATAGGAAAGCAACCGGTCCAGATGACAATTCCAAGCGAAATAATCAAACTGCTCGACGATAAGGGCAAACATTCTCTTCTAAGCCTCTTTAATAAAATATACGAAACAGGACATATACCGGCAGACTGGCTACTATCAACATTTGTAATGATATCGAAAAAAATAAATACCAAACAGTGTAGCGATCATCGCACTATCAGTCTGATGAGTCATGTACTAAAAATTTTCTTAAGAATACTGCACTCGAGAATTTACAACAAAATAGAAGTACAACTAAGTGAAACACAATTGCTTTCAGAAACAACCTTGCAGGTCATGGTTCAAAGATGCAGGGATATATCGACTGGTCCAAGGAAGACTGTAGTAACTCAAATTTTCCACCTTTTGAGGAGCGCAAAACAATAAAACATAATGATAATCTTCCCCAGGAAAGAATCGTATCTCAGTAAACGTAGTTATGCAACCAATATTACGTGTAAGAGTTGTATAGTATCTCCGATTTATGAAAAACAACCGTAGAAAATCATCGTATCTTGATATTGTTCTGAAGCTATTTTCTTGTGGCATTGTGAATTAATTACTATTAAACTGGGAATAAGCCACAATTAAAGATAAAAATACGTTATTGACGTTTCAATTTCCACTTCGGAAATCGTTCTCAAAATACAAACAGTAAATTAAACAAATTTTGTTTTTTGTTACATAGTGAAAAATTCTTCTAATAATTTAATTTTATCTGACTCATTTATATTGACAATTCAGACATACATTATGCATTTTAAAGTAGACGACTTTAAAATGATATTGCCAATATTGTTGAGTTGCGCTCCTGGGACAACTTTACTTATAAGATAGTTCATTCGATTACATGAAATCAACTTTAACTTCAGAATATCCGTCAGAAAAAAATCATAGCATGTAATTCGTCTTTAAAAAGACAAACACATGACATTATGACAGTAAAATTCTCCTGTTAGTGATTCCATAGTAAATTATGAGGGAAAAACCAGGAAAAAACCTCATAATACTATCCCGACATTGTAAGTATTTGTTCGTGAATTTAGTTTACCTTCAACAAACATCAAAATTCTGATTTATATGTTACGTTATTTAAAAACCATAATGATGTATCCTCTATATGTTACTGACTTACTAATACTGGTATTTTCTTATTAATAACTTCCTCTTTCAATATTGGTAACCAGATCCTACTACATTCTGCCGAGGAATTTGCGACACAATTGGCTTCATTTAACATAATTAGAGCCGCTTCTTTGATTTTTCGTTTTTTACCATCCGTTTCTTTTAGGACTATATTTGAATTATTCCATTGAACCCTATGTTCATTATCCCATGCGTGTTTACAGATTTGAGATCTATAGATATATATATAGAAGACGGCCTTCCACTACTATCAAATTTCCACCGAAACTGTATGATGCACCATTACCAATTGAAGAAAAAAAGCTAAAAGGATTACTGTGGCTGTGTAATACCGGTAAAATACCCACAATGTACCATGGATTTTATAAAAATCTTAATTCAAAAAGTTATGTACCTCCTAAAGTCGAACTCGAAGTTGATTCAGTTGAGAGCGAAAATGAGTCGGATGAGGAAAATTGAATTAAAATATAAAACTGCAAATTATATCAGTAGCTTCTTCAAAATCTAGCATTTTATATAAATAAAGTTAAGAAACAAATAATTCTGGTAGTTATTACTTTAAAAATATCTCCATCGAAAACTATAGTAACTCATTCAAAAGTCACTTATGACCATTTCTGTCTTAAATCTGTTTTACCCTTGTAAGATCATTATTAAAAGTATCACTTAATGCTATAAAAACATCCATTTAATAGAATAATGAATTTTGGTAACAGTGTAAATACATTTTTATAAGTATCTTAGTTACATAAAAAATGGTTACTACAGTCTTCGTTGGACCAGTCGATATGACAACCAGTATATATGTGTTTTATCGACTTCCAAAAGGCCTTTGACCGAGTAAACCATGACAAATTTATAGGTGTTTTGCAACAGGTGGGAACTGATGACCGAAACCTCCGTATTATCAAAAATTTGTATTGGCATCAATGTGCAAACATACGAGCTGGACACAACACGACGGAAGCAGTGGAAATACGACGTGGAGTGAGGCAAGGATGTATTCTCTTTTGTCATCCACTCGTTTTTGTGATTTTTTTTTATTTTACTTGCGACTACTTCGTCAGCCTCGACTATAGCTGTATTTATTTTCTCGCAGGTTTCCTCTACGAAATTTCCTTGTATATTTCTCAAGTTCTCGTTGATGTGCTTACTGTATGTAGATCTAAGCTACTCATCTCTCAATAATTCTCTAGTGTTTATGTATTTTTTAGTAGATGGCTTTTTAACCTTTGTCAATCGAAGCCTTAGGAGCTTTGCCTTCGCGAGCAGAGGGTTGTGGTCAGACGAAATGTCCGCACCAGGTTAAGCAGCCACTCTTTTTATATAGTTGCGGAATCTTTAATCAAGATCTAATCAATTTAATATCATATTATATGACCTGGACCATCTCCTGGTGCTCGCTATGTATACAATCTTCTTGGTGGGAGTTGATACCACGTATTGGATATATATTTATATATATTTATATACACCTCTTATAAACGATTTTTTTAAAAAAATTAAATTCAATTTTTAAATAACAGTTTTTATGAATCATTGTATACAGCCAAGTATAGGAATTTGATTTTCCTTGTGGATTTTAAAATTATTAACTTATAAGATATATATCACAAGTATGTTCTAGAAATCATTATAAAATTAAAGGTTTAATGCTTTTATAATTTATTAAAAATAACATTTTATGCAGTAAAGCTATATACGTTATTGATACCCTTAAGAGCCACTAACAGTTTCCCGTTTCCGTTCAACCTGAATGCACTTCTTCAAATCAGCATCCATCTTTATCATACTAAGAAATTTTGTTTACATTGCTCCACTATGGGAAAACTTAGCTCAATATTCAACTTTTCAATGAATTTAAAGGATATAGTGAAACGCTTCAAATGAGTTTGTAAAACTTCTTCTTCACTGCAGTTAAAATAAGTTTTCTCGTTACCATTCAAAAGGTCTATTTCAGCGAAAATTTCTCAAAATTGGCGAACTTTCGAATTATCTGTTTCTCATAATATACGTCGGCAATACTAGAGGTAAATGTTAACTGGTTTTTATTTTTTACGATAATCTGTGAATACTTGTATTTATTAAATTATTATTTTTACTATTAAAGGATCTCACTTAAGGTCTCATTTACCAAGTCGACGACAACATTGTACTCAAGCCAGAGGTGGCAAAAATAATTTAAGACTGGTTTATATACAGTTACTATACATTATACTATACATTAGTGATACAGTTTATGAACCACTTTTTTAATTTTAAAATGCCTGTAGTTTTTGTTTCTTTTTGTTCATTTAATCATTCTTACTTTTTACGAGTGAAACTATAAACCTTGCTATCCCCTGTAAATCAATAGCACGCCTAATAGATAGCGTACTCAACGACCGAATGTTTCAAGTAGTGATAGGCACAGATATCAGCCCACCAAAGAAACTTAAGACCGGCCTACCACAGTTGTCAGTGTTCTCTCCACTACTGTTTAGCTTATATCTAGCAGATATGCCGAAAACACAATCAAGAAAGTTCGGATATGCCGATGACTGGCTCTCACTACAGATGCAGAACACTAGAAATGTTAGAGATGATGGAACAACGCAGGCAGTGTAAGATCAGGCAGGACGAAGTAGGGTACCGAAATATACACAGTCAAATTCGTAAAGAAATTATAGCGGCGAAGGAGATCTGGATGACTACACTTTGCGTCGAGGCTGAAAGCCTATATAAACTCGGCGACAGCTTCAATCTTCACAAGAAAATTAAGGAAATTGCTGGTGTCTTCAAGAAAAAACAAGTCACTGGTATACATAATGACCAAAATGAATTAATAACGGACCCTAGCGATATATTTAATACTTGGAAAATGTACACAGCCAATTTGTTCAATGATGACAGAACACAAAAACCACCACAACTGGGAGACCATTTGTATGGCCCAAGTATTTTGAAAGCTGAAATTGTACACGCTATCAAACTATTAAAAAGTAACAAAACCCCAGCACCAGATGATATGTACGCAGAAACAATCAAGTCACTTAATGAAGAAAACCTAGACATTATTGTCAAGCTCTTTAACGACATCTACGATACGGGCCAGATTCCAAAAGATTGGCTTCGATCTACATTTATCGCCCTACCAAAAACACCACGTGCGAACTTCTGCAAGGACCACCGACTAATAAGCCTAATGAGTCACTTTTTAAAACTTTTCCTGAGAATACTTCACACTAGATTGTTTAAGAAATGTGAAGACGTCAGTGGATGGAGTCAGTTTGGTTTCAAAAATGGACTTGGCACGAGAGAAGCGATCTTTAGTATGCAAACATTGATACAGAATTGTTTAGATCAAAGAAAAAATGTTTTTATCTGTTTCATCGATTACGAGAAAGCATTTGATAATGTAAAACATGAATTGATGATAAAATACCTACAAGAGTTGGGATTGGATGCAAAGGATATAAGAATCATCGCCAATCTGTATTGGAATCAGACAGCAACAGTACGTCTTCAAAATTCCAACGAAACAGAAGATTTCTCCGTTAAAAAAGGAGTAAGGCAGACGGAAGAAGTTCTGACGGCAGACTTATATATATATATATATATATATATATAATTAAATATATATAATATATATATACATATATATATATATATATATATATATATAATATATATATATTGGGCAAATATTTTTGCAAGTGGCGACTTCAACCAAATGCATCCAAAACAAATGTTAGTTGCTTTCACCTGAACAATAAACTTGCTGGAAAGGAACTCAACATACGGTTTAAAAATACCACACTTACCCACAACAAAACAGTACTTTAGCGTAACACTAGAGTTAACGCTATCATTTAAAGAGCATTTAACAAAAACTGACCAAAAGTTGAGTACAACAATTAACATTATACAGAAGCTCTGCGGTACCAGCTGGGGAGCATCGGTTTCCACTCTCCGCTCTACTGCCTTAGCCCTTTTTTCTCGACCGCTGAATATTGTGCTCCAGTTTGATTACACAGTCCATACACAGTCCACAAATAAAAAAAGTCGATATTGAGTTGTACAGCACTGAGGATGATAGCTGGTACCATTAAATTAACTCCTACCCAATGGCTTCCAGTATTAAGTCACATCTTACCTCCACATTGACGAAGAATTGACGTACTTATACGTGAATACAAAAATATTATCTTCTTCTTCTTCTTTTTATATAGACATGACTGTCTGTTTTTCAATATGCCTCCAGTAAGTTGTCTTTCCATCGTTTTCGTGGTCTTCCTACTGATCGTCTTCCTATTGGGGAACCGGCTCTTTCCCGTCTATAGAAGTACCTTTCCAGTCTACTTCTTAGGACTCTAGCGAATACCTTATATGTTACGGAGGAATACCCCTCTAGTTTTCACACTCTGCTTTATCGACCTTTTTATGAATGGGACATCCTGTTGCCTCTCTTCATACTTTTGGAATTTTCTCGCGCTTCCAGATTTTCATGAGCTGGTTACATATCTGCGTTATAAGTGCTTCTTCCCCATGCTTGATTAGTTTTGCAGGAATACCATTGATGCCTCCACTTTTATTGTTTGTTATGATATATACGATTTATTCCTCACTTCTTACTATTTCCACTTTTTCCTCATCATTTCCATCCGGTTCTTCATTGAGCAGCTCTGAAATAATCTTTTCATCCATCTAGTTTCCTCTGCTTATGTCCTGTTAGATGTCCTTGTTTACTCCTGTAGTAATTCTGTTTTCTTGCGCCTTGGATGAATAACGATAGCTTAAGGCATTTATTTTGAATATAGAGAATTTAAAATTCGTTAACTAAAATATTGAATATGATCTTGAATATAAAGTGTGTACATAAGATCTTTTTTATTATTGAAAGCTCTTTTATGTTATGGTATACATTTATCAAAGGATCTACCAGTTTGAACAATGTAAGTTTGTATATGCTACAGGTAAACCTCGAATTTGGATACAGATCAGAAGTCTGCAAACTAATTTTTATGGTACTACAGTTTTTTACGAATTTATTGCAGAATACGAATCTGCAATTAAAATGAAGGTTTCTATTTTCAAAATGGCTCCCTGCATTAACCTCTGAGATGGGGGAGGTAGGAGGTCGGGTTGGTGCTATTAGATAGATTTTTGAAAAGTATTGAAAAAGTTTTTTTCAGTTTTATCCGATGTAAATTTCGCCAAATATAAGAAAATAAAAATACGTAGATATAAATAGATTTAAACCTATACGTGACAGTTGCAAAAAAGTTGATATATAAATACAAAAATATATATATATATATATAGCAATATATTTATAAAATTGTTACTTAATATTAATAAATTTTATGTATAAAGTTCTTTGCCTAAAGAAGTTTAAATATAAACGTTTATAATATGTTGATTAATAATATTTTTCGTAAAATGATTGACCTTAACTCCTTTGTGATAAAACAGATATGTACTGTTGTTGAAAGTAATAATCTAAATTATTATAATATTAAAATCGATTAGTGATATTCGCGCGAATATGTTTATTTTCTACTTGTTGATAAAATAGGGTCAAAAAAAAACATTACGGGGCACAAAAAATCAAGTACGTTTAATCAACAATATTAAACAATATATAATGTAATAAAACGTTTGTTAATAATTTATTAAATATCCAAAGTAATTCGTATAGTGTTCCAACAGCGAAAAATGGCTACAAACCAATTTAAGTTACCTTCACCATATATTAGAACACAATTACCTCCACCAGAAGAAGATGCAGTTTATAATAAGTGAGTATTTTCACTTCTGCTTTCTTTTTATCTTAAACCTTAAAATACATACATACTTAATCGTTTATCTTCTACCTTTAGGTGTTAAGGGAGGTGCGTCTAGCTTTTAATGAATTTTCTCCATTTTTTTCTGTTCTTCAGTTGTGTTGCTTCTTGTTAAGATTTACCCTTATTATGTAACATCTCTGCTATATAGTTATTCCACACTTTTATTGGTCTGCCCTTCTGTTTTTGCCATTTTGGTTAGCTTTCCACATTCTTTTCACTTGCCTGTTGCTGCCCATTTGTTATATCCACAAACCAAGCTAACTTTTTCTCCATTATTGTGTCAAGAAACGGTTTAAGTATAAGTGTGTTTCGTATTTCTTAATTGCTGAGTCTGTCTATCCTTCTTTTTCTTATCGTTCTTCTGAAGTATTTTATCTTTGCTGCTTCTACTCTGGTTTCTTTTGCTTAAAATCCAGTTTTCTACTCCGTATGTCAACTGTATCCAATATATTCTTTGGTATACTGTCATCTTCGTTTTGATTGATCTGTTTTGTTGATGAATTCTCTATTTAGCGCCTGGAATAGCTTTCCTGTACTCTTGAGTCCATTGTTGAGGTCGTCCTTGACGCGCCTTTGGTATTTATTACAGATATTTGTCTATCTATTATCTATTATGCATAGGGATCTCTACATAGTGGAACAGTACGGAAGATGTTGGACAGTGGCCTAACATTCTGATCCCGAGGCTAGGGGACTAGGTAAACTGTGGTCACAGACGAGTGTATTATTACTTCCTAACGCAAGTGCTCACAAAACATAGGTGTTTTAAAGCGAATCTTCATAGGTTCGGAAAAACAGATACAGACACATGCTCATACTGCGGATACTCCAACACTGTCACTCACGTAATGCTGAAGTGTAACAAATGACCAGTGGATAGAAACAAATTACCTAGCGATAATAAATGGTATTAACCCTGTAAGAGAAATGATCGTGAAGACAGCGAGAAGTAAGAAGGGATGAAATACTTAACACAATTATATCCGAGCAGTTATTAAAAAGAAAGAAGAACAAGAGAAACACCAGCAGAAAAAGGGACAGAGATACGATGTAGACAAGAGAAAGAGGACAGTCAACTGAGCACATGTAGGAGACGAAGGTTTTAGTTAGCAGACAAGATAACAGGAAGGTATCCATTTGCAGGACCTCCTTTTATTGGGAAAGGGGCTCGAATATACTCCTCTAACCTAAATTCAACACACATCAGCCATCCCTAGGGATGGATCATACGGTTTTTAGAAAATGTCTACCCTCGGAAGAAAAGGAAGGTATCTCTATATGTTTGTTTGCTTTATTTTCTGTTGAACGGTTACCACGTCGATTAGGCCCTCCGAGTTTTTTTTTATTTAAAATTACTAGATTTGAAAAGTTAGGTATATTGCCGAAAGAAGTACCTTACTTGAACTACGTTGTTAAGTTCTACTTCGTTTTTTTAAGAAAATCCTTTATGGTATTAAAGGACTGTTAAATGCATACCAACTCGAAGTACCCGTCCATTAATTGACTTAGTTCACATCGAGAACCAAATGGAACTTCATCGATAAATTTTTTTAGGTATCTGTTATGGGTCATATTATTCTATGGATACTATTTTGTGTGGTTAGTAATTGGAGACAACTACTGTCTTTAACTCCATTAGTAAAGTTTTTTAACTTAAATTAACAGAATCTTTTGGAGACAAAAATTACAGTTCTGCTGAGTTCTCGCTCAAGAAGTAGTTAAGTATTTAGTAGAATAATCATCTTGATAGTTCCAGCTGCTTCCTTAGGTTTCTGACCTTCTTCCTTTTGATATCTTTTGTGAAAGTAATTTTAATACTTTTTTGGGTTCTGTTTTTAAGCTAGTTGAGCTCTGTTGAGCTAGTTTTTTATTTTTAATAATTTGGTCTATTTTGGCTTTTGGCTAAACGTATTGAGAAATATGAGTTACTATCTACAAAACTAGCAATTTACTTAAAAGAATCGTAACATATTTTGAGACAGGCAAGTCATAAGTTTACCTTAGGGTAAACAAGAGTTTACTTTTCATGTTGGTATTCTATTGGTCTATCTATAGCATTCTGCCTCAAACCCACGACCACGTCAAGGTGGAACAGCATGATGGAGCCTTTAGGGATAACATCTGGTTTTATTTTTTGTTTATAACTAAACATGTTTGACTACTAAACGTGTTTATTATAATAGATACATATATTTTACAGTCATATCAAAACTGCAAAGTTTGCTGACAGTGAATGCCGAGAATTCGGTGTAGCCATATTCGGTATAGGCCGAGCAGGTAAGTGTTTTATTTTTATGTTCATTTAGTTTTTTCAACATTTAGTTTATTCTTACATAGGTCTCATTTATCTATATATTATAAAGGTGTACCCTATCTTATATAATACAGGGTTTTTTTATTGAGTTTAATGCGTCGACAACTAATGGTCATTAGCATGGTACAGTGAATTTTTACAGTCAGGTACCTAGTGTAGAGTGTAGTGTGTGTGTACAGTAATTGTCTTGATACTTAGCATAGTCACCGTCATTGTCTTTGCTAAGAGACGCTAATTGTATCCGGACGTCTGCGGTCCCTCCGGTGACTACCGATCGCACAAGGATAGAAATTATTTTTATTTATTAATTTTCAATAAACGAAAATTTCTCCACCCAGGTGAGATTCGAACTCACGACCTTTAGGTTCAAAGGTAGACGCTCTTACCACTGAGCCACAGAGGGGGTAATACAGGGTTTTTATAATACTGTTCATCTAACAAAATCGTAGTGGCAAATTTTATTATTTAAAAGTTAAAGGTTAAAATTGTAAAATGCAAATGAAGAAAAAATTGAAAGTATGGTAATATCAGCTAAACGATAGACTGATAGATATAAGAAAGAGAAAGGATAGATAGAAATATCAGAAGGGGTATACATTTTTTATGAACAGGAAATTAAATATTTAGGGATACTAGTTAACTAGTTACAGAATAAATGAAAATATTGAGTAAATACATAACCAAAAAAATAAAAAGGAATTATAGTTATTTATATACCAAGGACATTAAGTAGATTTTTATTTACGAGAAAGACTATCTTACAAACCCAAGAACCTTTGGCCCGAGACTATAAAGTCTGTATCCTGCTGAAAAATATTCAGACGATTTCAAGAAAAGCAGCAAATATAGGTGAATTTTCAATGGTTATAGTCAACCTTCATTAGTGAAATCGGCAGTAAAAGAAGAAGATAGTTTGTACAAGAAGTAAAAGTAAGAGTAAGAGGAGTAAGAAGACAGTACAATGTGCTTATTGGCAAATTGAAGAGTTATCATCGCTTGAAAATCTCATTGTTGTTTGAGATTTGAATTTTCCAGCGATTAACTGGCCCATGATTTCCAAAACTAATACCATCAATTCCCAAAATTTGTTTAAAAACTTTATCATAGACTCTAATTTAATACAATTGAGGCAAGGTTTACAGCCAACAATAATTCTTCAATTTTATATTTATTTTGCAAAAACGACGATCAATTAATTTCTACACTCAAAGTGTCCTCCCATGTGGATCTTTCTGACCACTCGCTTATTACTGCTCACATTCAATTTATTTTAACACCGCTTTACAAAAATAATTTTGTAATGTATACCACTACTGATTTTAGTTTCAAATCACTTAAACTGGCAATCTATTTTTCGTAATTCCTCTGATCCATCGTCAATATGGGACTTTTTTCTTCATACTGAACGACAACTATACAGAAGTCTACTAAAACTTTGGATTAACCTCTCATTTACCCGCTTAATTCGACACAAGCGAAAGCCTTAGTGAACATACAAACTCACTGGTTCCCTTAATGATTTTCTCGCTCACCGTAATTTTTCTAACCGTGTCAAAAAATTGTTGCTAAAGTTATGGACATAATTTAAATAATCTATAATTACAGGTGGCAATAGTAAAATGGTTTATCAGTACATTCGCACATTTTTATCTTCCGAAGTCTCCATACAATTATTTAAAAAGCTGACGAGTCTTCTTCTTCTTCTTGTAGTTTCTTCTCCTATCGGAGGTTGGCTATTATCACAGCTATCCTTACCTTATTGGCGGCTGCTCTAAAAAGATCTACTAAGCTGCAACTATAACACTCTCTTAGGTTTCTCAGCCAGGAAATTCTTCGTCTTCCTATGGATCATTTACCCTTGATTTTACCTTGCATTATAAGCCTTATTATCTCATATTTCGCACCTCTGGTAATGTGGCCTAAATATTCCAGCTTTCTTGTTTTGATGTACTGTATGACCTTCGAGTCACTTTGTAGCCTTCCTAACACTTCTGCATTCAAACTCGTTGAGTCCATGGTATTTTCAAAATACTTCTGTAGCACCACATCTCAAATGATTCCAACTTATTTATACTATCCGCTTTTTAGTGTCCAGCTTTCTATTTCTATTTCTATATAACAAAGTCGAGAACACGTAGCATCTTAAGGCCTTTATCCTCAGATAAAGGTCTTGATTGACAAACATTGTTTTCATTTTTATAAATGCTTGTGTTGCAATTTCAATGCGTGTTCGTATTTCTCTACCTTGGTCATTCTTTTTATTTACCCAGTCTTACCGAGTTTTCATGTTCCTCGAATAACGAATCTTTGTAATATTTTTTTCAGGTTTTAACAGAATAAAACTTAATGATACCTTTCCTCAAATAATGTGCCCACTCTTGATATTATGTCTTTCACACCGAATGTAATTAAACATCATTTATGGAAAGTATGCAATAATTCATCACCTATATTAGATGGATTAACCCCTTTTTTCCTCAAACAATGTGTAGAATCTATAGCCATCCTTATATTATTATTATTATTATTATTATTATTATATAACAAATAAGGGCAGAGGAGCGAGCTCCTATTATGCCCAAAAAGCAAAAATAAACAAAAATAAAATAGATCCTTATAAAACTAATACTAATTATAAAGTTAAGTAGTTAAACAATTAACGAAAATTGAATTGTGACACAATAAATAAATAAATAATGCTGTCCGAGAAAAAATATCCTATCCTATAAAAAAAATAAAGTGCTGTCAAGTTTATTTTTAAAGATGTTAACACTAGCTGCCGATATGGTGTTTTGATCCAAATTGTTCCATATATTAAAGATTCTGTTTGGCAAGAAGTTCGCCCTGGACCTTGCAGTAGTTTGTTCCCTCTTTAATTTGTATTGATGGCCTCTTAATCTATCGTCTTCATTCAAAGTAAATATGTTGTTTAGGTTCCCAAAATTATGTTTTAAAATACGGAAGGACATAATTAGGTCACCTCGAAGACGTCGCTGCTCGAATGTCGTAAGATGAGCCATGAATAGTCTATCTTCATAGTTAGGTCTTACACGGCCGTATGCCAGTCTTGTGGCTTTACGCTGAACGTTTTCAAGTAGGATTTTATCGCGACTAAGATCTGGATTCCACACTGGTCCGGCAAACTCAATAATAGGTCTAACGTATATTGAGTAAAGTTTACTAACAGAGGTTAGAGATATGCGTGCAAAACACTTACGAATCAAAAACAGTTTCGAGTTAGCACGTTTACACACCGACACTATGTGATCAGACCAATTTAAGTCACTATTAATTATCACTCCGAGATCGTTGTGTGAGGTTACAGAGTTTAAAGGATGTCCATTAATAAAGTACGGAAGTGATGGGTTATTTTTGCCGATATGTAAAACAACGCATTTTTCAATGTTAAGCGGAAGTAACCATTCTGAGGACCATTTGAATATTGCGTCAAGATCTTGTTGAAGAATATGTTGGTTAATAATTGGATTCACATATAACTTAGTGTCATCAGCGTAAATGGAAACCTTACTGGATACAATGAGCGGAAGATCACTAGTGTAGACACAAAAAAGTAGCGGTCCAAGTACTGATCCTTGTGGAACTCCACTCTTGACTGGCTTATCTAATGAGTGGTCTTCCCCAACACGAACCCTGAAGTATCTGTCGGATAGAAAATCTTGTATCCAAATGTTTAATTTTCCGCGGATACCATAGTGATCCAATTTAGCTAGTAATCGACGTTTTGGAACACGATCGAAAGCTTTAGAGAAGTCTAAGTAAACTACATCGACAGGATTCCGATTGTTTAAAGATAATGACCAATCATTTACACAATGAAGTAAGTTTGTGATCGTTGAACGACCTTTGATAAATCCATGCTGTTGGTGAGGGATGACATTTTCTTGAAGAAGGAACTCGGACATAGCTTCCGAAATAATCGATTCCATGACCTTGCTGACAATAGGAACTAGGCTGATTGGACGATAATTATTGCAATCAAGTTTATTACCTTTCTTGAATACAGGAGTAACTGAAGCCAATTTCCAGGACGAGGGGAGGGAACCTTGATTAAAAGAAGCAGTCATTATGAGAGATATAGGGATGGCTACAGAATCTGCACATTGTTTGAGGAAAAAAGAGGTGAGTTCGTCTAATCCAGGTGATGAATTATTTCGCAGTTTCCTTAAATGATATTTAATTTCATCCGGTATGAAAGATATATTGTCAAGAGTTTTAGACAAACGAGGGCACATTATTTGAGGAATGGTATCGTTAGATTCATCTGTAAAAACTTGAGAAAAGAATAACGATAAACATTCCGAAGATTCGTTATTCGAAGAACATAAAGACCCATCAGCTTTTTGAAGCAATGGTATGGAGACTTTAGAAGATAAAGATGTACGAATGTACCGATAAACTTTTTTACTATTACCACTTGCAATGATAGATTCCTCAAATTCTGTTCTTAACTTTAGCAAAGATTGTTTGACTCGGTTAGAAAAATTACGGTGGGCGAGAAAATCATCAGGGGAACCAGTGAGTTTATATCTTCGCCAAAGCTTTCGCTTATGTCGAATTAAATGAGTAGCTGAGAGGTTAATCCAAGGTTTTAGTCGATTTCTATATACCTGCCGTTCGGTTGTATGATCAGAAATTGTTGTAATAGCAGTATGAAGAAAAGAGTCCCACATTGACGATGGATCAGAGTGATTAGGAAAAATAGATTGCCAGTTTATCTGGGATAAAACTGAATTTACATCAAAGAAATTTGTAGTGGCATACGTTACGAAATTATTTTTGCAAGGCGGTGTTAAACTAAATTGAATGTGAGCAGTAATAAGCGAGTGGTCAGAAAGACCTACAGGAGAGGACACTTCAAGTGTAGAAATTAATTCATCGTCATTTGTGAAAAATAAGTCTAAAATTGAAGGATTATTGTTGGCTCTAAACCTTGTAGGTTCAG